AGAGGGGACATTTTTGGCTGCTGGGGGTTTGTGGTAGCAATGGCTTTCTCTCGTCTGCTCCAATTCTGGACCAGGCTCCCCAGGATGGATGGGTGTTATGGCTGTGGAAAACAAGCAAGTTCTGATGCACCACCCCAGTGCCTCACACCTCCTGCTGCCCTTCTCCCAGAGACTTCTTCTCTCTTGGAGTAAAGGCCAAATCCTCACAGAGGCCCACGGCATTGTGTAACATCTGGCATAACATTCTCTCACCTCCTGCTACCCACTGCCTCACTCTCTTCACTCCTTGGCCTTTTCACTCAACTTCATACCTGCTGGGCGTGCTCCTGCCCCAGGGCCTTTGCACTGACTGTCCATTCCACTAGGGATGTATCTGCATGGCTCTGTCCTTTAACTCTTTCTAGGCCTGCTTCAAGTTACTGTCTCCATGAGGCCTACCCTGGCCACTTATTCAGTGAGGCCCATGCTCTCCCACTTTGGTATCCAAACATCCTTACCCTGCCCAGATCTTTCTTTTTCCCAGCAACTGTCATCCTCTAGCTTGCTACAGACCACACCTCTTTATCGTGGTTTATTGTTTCTTGTCTGTTTCCTCAGCCTAGAGCCCAAGCTCCAAGAAGACAAGGGTCTTTTTTCTTCACTAGCGTATTGCAAGAATTGAGAACAGAGCCAGGAACGCTGTAGGTGCTTATAAATGTTTGCCGAATGAAGAAATGTTTCCTCCTCCTAGCTCCCAAAGAGCTTCCATAGAACTAATGGGAAAGAGTGCATGCTCAGAATATATCTCTTCCAGCTAACTGGGCTGCCCCAGGAAAGGGCTGGAGACAGCACCAGCCTAGCCCCACCGCTTGGGCCCAGAGGAAGTTGGGCTCCTCCAGGAAGGAAAACTCAGAGTGAGGCACCAGGTGGCTTGGATGCCGTCCCAGTCCTAGTACTGATTTGCTGTGTGACTCAGGAAAGGGCACTATCCATTTCTGAGCCCCAATTCTCTCTTTTGGCAGATGACATTAGCATTTCCCCTCTAACTAAAAGCAAAAAACTTCTATAATATGAGTCTGGGGGCCTACAGCATGGAGCCAAATCCTGCCTCTACCACTTGCTAGCTGTGTGGTGTTAGGTAGCTTAGGGAACCTCTCTGAACCTTTGCCTCCTAATCTGCACATGGGTGTGCGAGCCTTTCACGCACTGAGTACTCTGCTCACTTGTGATGTGGCCATCAGCTGCCTCCTTACATGAAGTTGTGGGAAGTGGCAGCTGGGTCTTTCAGGCAGTGCACGGTAGCTCCAGAGTAGACTGTAAGTCACCGCAGTTTGGTTGATGCAAGGCCTTGTTCATTTTCCCAGCCTTGTAGGTTTGGTTCGGCTGGGCTTGATTTGGTTTGGTTTGGTTTGGTTTGGTTTCCTTTCCTTTCCTTTCCTTTCCTTTCATTTTGCGGTACTGGAGATTGAAACCAGGGCCTTCACAATGAGTTACATCCTCAGGCCTTTTTCTTTTTTATTTTGAGATAAGATCTCTCTAAGTTGCCCAGGCAGAGTTCCCCAACTTTTGATGCTCTTGCCTCAGCCTCCCAGAGTGGCACAGATCACAGCTGTGTGCCACCAGCCTCAGCTGTCCTCATCACGTGACTGCCACCCTGGCTGGAGGCACTGCAATGGCCTGGTGGGGACAAGACACTCCCTAGGTAGGACAGGTACCCAAAGGGCCATCCTCCAAATTAACCCAAAGGACAATCAAGCCCCAGCTCCAGGGAGAGAACAGAAATCTGTCAGGGTCTGAGAAGGGGAGAGGCTAGAAGAGCACTGCGCAGTTGCAGGAGCCAGGACCATTCCGAGGGTGAGGACGCTGTCAGACCGCCCACACCCCGGACACAGAACCTGCAGCGGTCAGGCTCTGAGCTAAGTTCTCTGAGATAAGAGCTTAACCAACCGCACCTGGTTTATCAGGACTCCCTGGGAGAAGAGCGGGCTGCAATCATTGGGAAGAAGCGTGGGAAAAGGCAGGGTCTGTAAGGCGTAGCTACGACACAGGGTGTACCACCGACACGGTATGCACCATCAAACCAGACTCCACTGTGACAAACAGAGCTTCATCCCAGGGGCAACCACTGTGAAATGGGACAAGGAAAGTCTTCCTTAAAATTACCCCACCCAGGGGCATCAAGTGTTCCCCAGTGTGTGTGCGTGTGTGTGTGTGTGTGTGTGTGTGTGTGTGAATCCCCAGTGTGTGTGTGTGTGTGTGTGTGTGTGTGTGTGTGTGTGAATCCCTGAACTTGCTGTAGCTCTCCCGGTCTCCATAAAAAGCCTTTGGATTCAGAGGTAGATCGAGGCAGTGAGGGCTCGGTCAGAGTCCTGCAGGACCAAGAGATCTAAGCAGGGTCCTGGCCGCATCAGTTGTATGAGTTGGACTCAGGTGTGGCTTGTGGGGAGCAGCCAGGGGCCTGTAGTTCCCCATAGGGGTGCTCAGGGCTGCCTCAGTCCTGCTTGGTATCAGCATTCTAACCGGGGCTGGGGGTGCATCTGTAAGAGCCACCTCTGGAGTCCCAGAAGGCCACCTGGCAGGCTCTGGTGCCCCTCTCCTCCTGTTTGTTGTGTGGTACCCGGAGCTCCCAGGTGGATAGTGTCTGCCCCACGGAGAGACGAGGATACCAGTCCTATCTTCTCTCCCCACCCTGCAGACTAGGAGGCAGACCCTTCCTCTGCTTGACAGAAACAGCAATTCTTTTTATTATGGCAAGATAAACATAAAATTGACCATCTTAACCACTTTTAAATGTTCAGTGGCATTGAGTGCATTCTTGTTACCCAACCATCATGCCATCCATCTCCAAATTTCCAAGGCCTGTGACCTTGACACTTCAGAGGCTGAGGCAGGAGGATCAACATGAGTTCAAGGCCAGCCTAGGCTACATAGTGAGCTCAAGGCCAGCTTGGACTACACAATGAGACCCTGTCTCCAAAAAACAAAAACGACAACAGCAAAAAAAAAAAAAAAAACCCTCTGTTCCCATGAAACACTAATCCATTTTTTTTCCTACCCTAGTCCTGGGCAACCACCATCCCATCCTCCCTGTCTGTGAATCCTCATTAGAAAGCAATTCTGCCAAGGGTCCCAGTGTGCTTCTCACTGTCCTGCTCTTCCACCCCTCCTCTGGAGGCCTGACGGAAGTACTTTGTCTGCTGGTCTCATACAACTCTCATTCATTTTTGAAATAACTGGAAATGCTGCCGAGCTTTTGTGATTATTCTTTATAGCACCAAAATAGAACAGCCTGTACCTACCTGCAAATTAAACAACGGTGGCACACAAAGAAATTGTGGTGGATGACGACACACATGACACAGGCAAACATTTATGATATGATGCTCGGAAGGAAGCAGTCACAAACCTGCACACGTTCGCAGTAACCCATACCATAAGGGCACTTATTCTTCCCCTAACCTCAGTTATGGAGCTGCTTCAGCACAGACTAGAGAAGAATTATTGATGCTGGTCTCTGGGTGGTATGGTACAGGTGATTTTCCGGACTTGGGTTTTTGAGATGAAACACGCGTTACTCTTTTGCTGTGTTCTTCAGGTCCCTTGCACCTAACCTCCTTGCTATGCCTCCAACATTCCAGACCCATCCCTCCCTCCGGGTACTTGCCCTGGCTGTCCCCTCTCCTTGAGTTCTCTTCTCATAGCTGCAAGCTGGCCCTTCCCTTGCCAACTCCAAATGTCACCCCTTCGGTGAGGCCTTCTCAGATCCACTCTAATTAAATAGAACATTGTTCCTCCCTAGCCTGACCGTCTCCCTCTTTACTTTATTTTTCTCTATAATGCTCTCACTCCATGACATACTGTATTTTATTTTTATTTTTTGTGGTACTGGGGGATTGAGCCCAGGGAGTGCTGAGCTATATCCCAGCACTTTAAAATGTTATTATTTGGAGGCAGGGTCTTCCTGAGTTGGTCAGCTGGTCTCAAACTTGCAATCTTCCTGCCTCAGCCTCCCAAGTTGCTGGAATCCCAAGTTGTTTATTGCTGCACCCTTGAGCATCTAGAACAGCTGAGCTCTGTACTAAGGTGTTATCAGCACACGGAGGTGCTGAGCAAGTGGCTTTTAAATGAACAAATGCACAAATGGGGCTGTTTCAGTCTAGTTTTTCCCATTTAGGGGCAGGAATGGGCAGAAGTGGGAAAGGACAGTAACAGGTGGGGGGCAGGAAGGATGGGCTCGGGGGGATGCCAGTCGCTGCCACACTGTCACCAGATACCTTCCCTCTGACCCTGGGGTTTCCGATATGGCTCCAGGGTGAGAGAAACACCAGGTCAGAGCACAGAGTGCCCTCCCTGCCCCTCCCCGCAAGGAAACCAACCAAGAAACAGATCTCTACACCAAAGACCCAGGCTTTGGGAACACTCAAGGGGAAGTTGTGACGCTAGGGCTGGATTAGGGCTAAAGAGCAGATGCCACAGGACTTATTCTGGCTTCATATGGAGAGGTGTCCAACACTGGCTGAGCGGCAATGTGAAAAGCTGGCTGCGCGGGTGGAGTCCAGGATCCACACACCCATGGGTGCAACCTGCTATGGGGAGGGGCAGCCGTCATCTATGAGTCGCTGAACTCTGCGCCAGAGTGCGCAGCTTTGGGAAAGCAGCGATGGCTAAATAAAAACAGGCACAGTGACAAGCTGTGAAGGCACAAAACTGGGCTCACAGAGGGGTGGTGCCTGGTGCAGACGGGATCGGGAGGTCTCTCTCTAGGACCTCCCAGGTATTTCGAGGCGCGCTGAATGGTGAACATATCTCCAGTGCACCCCAAGGAGAAGGAAGCCGGGAGCCTGGCCCTGAGCACAAAGAAAGATCTCGGCGCACGGTGAAAAACGCGAGGCCCAGAGATAGGGAACCACTCGCCCACCAACACACGGTAAATCGGTTGAACGTTAGTGGGTGGAGGATCAGCTGAGGCCCCTGCGCCCTGGGGGCTGGACACTCTGCGGCCAGTCCCACCAGCTGCGAGAGGTGGAAGCCGGCGGGTGCCAGAGGTGAGGCTGGAGGTGGAGCGAGTTGGGGCCGGACCCGGGGGGTGGGGAAAGGGGCAGGGGGCGGCCCGGTGACGTCATTTCCGGGGTCGGGATATATAAGCAGGGCACACAGGCGCTGCTGCCAATACTACTGCAGTACTACGGCTTAGCGCGCGATGGCTCGCGGGCAGACTGACAGAGCCGCGGACGCTGGCCCGCCGAGACGCTGCGCCCCTGCCCGCCCCAGCAGCCTCTCGCCTGGTGCCGCCGTGCGGGTCCCCAAGCTACCAGCTGCTCCACGCTCTGGGTTCGCCATGCACTCCAGCGCCGTCCTGGCGTTCCTGCTGTGCGCCGGGCAAGGTGAGCGGGCCGGGGGCTCGGCGGAGAGCGTCCCCAGGAGCCCCGTCTGCCCGAGGTCCACGCATCCCCTCGGCGCTGCGAGAGTTCAGCACCGCGGACAGCGCCACCTCCACCTGGCCCGCGCTGTGGCCTCTGCCCAGGCCCCGTGAGACACCCGGACCCGACTCCCAGCCGCGTGGGACGAGGCCCCCTCGCTTCCCCACCCCTAGTCCAGGCTCGGCGTCTCGGCTGCCTCGAGGCCAGCGCCGACTTCGCCCCGGGGCGGCCAAGGTCATTGGGGCAGGGAAGGACCGCTGCTGCTTGCCCTGTCACCCTTCTCCCCTCCCAAACTTCCACTCTGATGCTCCGTGTCGTCTGGTAGAATCCCTCCCCAGCTCCTTACTCAGACCTTTGGGGTCTCTCCCTCTCCATGCTGCTGTCCCCACCCCAGTCCCGCTGCACAGCTGGCCTTGTTTTCCCGGCGCTTGCCTCCAGCGTCCCTCCCTGCCCCGCCCCCAGCTTCCCCAGGGAAGGGTTAAGGCCCTTCAGTGCAACCTCTGGGGACTAACCCCTGGGGGCAGCATCGGAGGAAGGGAAGCAGCATCAGCCCTGGCCTTTCCTGTGGGTGGGGGCAGTTGTGAGGGGCAGCACTGGGTGAATGGGCCCCATGAACCCAGTCAGGAAGGCCTGGGCTCCTCTCAGTACAAAAGAGTGACCCCTGGTGCTTTTTTTTCCCTCCCAGTCACTGCCCTGCCTGTGAACAGCCCTATGACTAAAGGGGACACCGAGGTAAGCAGGTGCACTGGGGATGCCCTGGGATGGGGGAGGAGGCTCCGGTGTGGACACCTCACAGCTAGTTCTTGGGCAGCTGCAGGAGTGAGCCTGGCCCAGAGCCAAGAGCTAGCACTGCGGCTGCTGAGCCTGGGGACAGCTTGCAAAAGAAGATATCAAAGATTGCTTGCTTTTCCCGCTGTCCCGCTGTGGGGACTTCCCCAGCTCTCTCTCTGTTTGTGTGCAGCCCAAAGGGGCCTGTGTGCTCCCCGCTGGGTCCAGGTGCCAGGTCTACTGTCCGGAACACTCCAAATCCGGGAGGCCCGCTGTGGCTGGTGGGAGTGGCTTCCCATGGTCCTGGCTGTCCACAGACCTGCCTGGCTCTGGCCTCCCCCTTTAGATCTGGTAGCAATATCCACACCCAGGAGGTCTTCAGACACGAGGTTTCCCACAGGGCCACGGTGAAAACTCTTGACCATGGCATGGCTTCTTCACCCCAAGTTCTTGCTAGTGGGGGTCTGCTGGTGGAGGTCACCATGGAAAGGCCTTAGGGGACACCAGTGTGGGTGGGGGTGGACCCCTGGCAGTAAGGAACACCACACCAGATGGACTTGCAATTCGTCCCCCTTGGAGCCAGGGCTGTTTCCTAGGCCCCTTATTCACGTATATCTCCACTTGAGTCACAAATGTCTACTCCTCATTTTCTAGGCACTATTTTCTTCTGTTAGAGGCTCCAGTTTACACCAAAAGCATCAAAGAGGTCTCAACCTCAGTTTGTTTCATTACATTTCCTATTGCGGTATGTAGGCCAGAATTTAAAACTCTACCACTCATCCTAGCTATGCAACTTTGGGAACATTTAACTCCTCTGAGCCTCCTCTTTCCCCTCTTTCCCTTGAAGGAGGTTGGAGAGTAGGAGTTACGGATGTGGTGTGGCACATAGCAGGTCCTCAGTAAATGGGCACTGTTTTTCTTAGAGCTTCCCTTCTTGACCTCTCAGCTCCCCCACCACTGGGGCCCCTGTCTAATTCATGCTTCAGAGAATCTGTCCTCACAGCCTGGTGGTGATCTGATGTGCCTGGTGCAAAGTCTGAGGTTACAAGGAGTCCAGGGCACAGGCTGCCGAGCCCCGCATGCCAGAGCCATTTTGGTTGCCATATTATGCCCAGCAGTCCCGGGTCAGAGGCGCCAGAGCAGCTGGTTAAGACCTGAATGTTCCATCTGAGGCTGTGACTGCACACACTGTGGAGCGTTTGCCAGTTTGCCATCCTGGATCCATGGACCAGTTGCCTTGGCATCCTAGAGGCACAGCCTCCCACCCCCTCATTCCCCACCAGCATTGCCTGATGCATGTCTGACACCTCCTTCTCTGCCCAGCTCTAGGCTGTTGAAGCAGGTCTGAAGCTGCGAAGCCCTCCTTGGGCATGTGCGAAACTTCATGCTGTATATAGAGTGCTTCCCCATCTGTGCCTCATTACCCTGGGTGGGCAGTGGGAAGGCATTTCACTCCCATTTTACAAATGAGGACACAGGCTCTGAGAGGTTAAATTACTTTCCCAAGGTCACACTACTAGGAAATCACACTTACGTTAGCACGCTCACTGGAGGTCATCCATTTAACAGATGCCTAGTTATTCACGGGAGCTTGCCAGACACTGGACGACTTTCAGAGAAATGGCTGCTGTTGGTCTGGGAGGGGCACCCAGGTGTAGCCAATGTGTGCCCTTTATCCAGCTAGGAACCTCTTCCCATGGAAGTGTATAGCCAGACTATGAGCCTGTCACTGCCTGCATATGACAACACTGTAGGTGTTGGGAGACAGTGATCCAGGGTCTGGAAACAAGATAGAGCTGGGGAAGGTCTTTGCTGTCCTCTGAGAAGTCCTGGGGGAGACGACCCTGAAGCATCTCAAGGCCACAGCACTTTGCAAGACATCCTCCTAATTCCCAGGAGATTTCCTCAGCTGTAGAGAAATGATCTTGGGATGAGGAGATAGCAGTACCCCCCACACACAGCCCACCCTTACCATGATCTACCCTAGAGGGGCATCTACTGGCCTGCCCATGTGATTGGGATGCCCGGCGCATGGTAAGCAGCACATAAAGGTTTTCTATCATGGCCGATACTGTCAGACTAAGAAGGCAAATGGGGCTCCTGAGCCAGACACCCAGGCACCCATGGAAACCAAAGCAGATGCCCTTCTGTTCTCATTAGAGAGCTGCTCTAGAGCCCCTGAGAGCTGAGCTCCATGCCCAAACCAGCCCCAACCTTTCCTCCACTGTCTTCCAGGTGATGAAGTGCATTGTTGAAGTCATCTCGGACTCCCTGTCCAAGCCCAGCCCCATGCCCGTCAGCCAGGAGTGTTTGGAGATCCTCCGGGGAGGTACAAGTCCAAGGCTGGGGCCGGGAGGCGAGGACTGGGTGTGTGACTTTCGATGGACTCAATCATTAAAGTCACTAGTGACTGGCTGAGAGCTTGCCTAAGCCGGCGCTGAGCTTGGATCTGAAGGAGACTGGTACTGAGGGAGTCACATTTCCTACACTCCCAGAGCTTGTAGACTAGCAGGGGGAACATAACATGAGCACAGCGAGCTGGGATTCTGGGCAGACTGAAGCCAGGGCTGGAAAAGCAAGCCGCCAGACCATGAGCTCCCTGTGGTCTGGATCTTGCGTGCTATATTCCCAGGGTCAGAATGGCATCTGGCACCTGGCAGATACCCTATGGGTCTGTGATGAATAAGGAATGTAGGAGCGGGGGATATGAAGACCAAATCTTTCCAAGCTGACAGTCAAGTCCTGGCCGGCTGTTGGGTAGAGCCAGCCCATCTGGTAATCCACAGGTAGAAAGTAAAGAAAGGGTCTTCCGGGAACAGTAGCAGCATGGGCAACGTGATGGTGGTGGGAGATGGTTGAGGGAGACCCCCCTCATCCTCAGGGCTGCTGCTCCTTGTCTGCAGTCTGGGTGTTGGGACAGTGGTCGGCCTTCCTGATGCAGGAGCTCGTTTCCAGGGTTATCTCGAGACCTGATCTTACTGCTGCCACCCTGGCTTTGAGTTTCCAGAACAAATCCCTGAGCTCAGCTGGAAATAGTGATGGTAATCTCTCTCAGCTGTTCTCCGGAAGCCACCCGTAACTCTGCTCCTCCCTCGCAGATGAACGGATCCTTTCCATCCTGCGACACCAGAATTTGCTGAGGGAGCTCCAGGACCTTGCTCTCCAAGGTATTTCCCAGCCATTGCACGCCATTTTGGGTAAATTCTTTTTTTTTTTTCCCCCGGTACCGGGAATCGAACTCACGACCTTGCACTTGCCAGGCAGGCGCTGTGCTGCTGAGCTAAATCCCCAGCCCCTCTGGGTAAATTCCAGTATCCACATCAGAAAATCAGGGTGGCAAGTTGAGCAAAGTCCTCTGGGATATTCAGTTATTTCTTTTTGGTTACAGAGCAGAAAGGTGGGTCCTCCATGCCACCTGGCCAATCTATTACTGATATGATTAAAGAGATCCAGGCCCAGCGAGGTCGAGTGTCTGGTCTAAGGTCACACAGAGAGTAGGGGTGTGTCAAAACCAGATGCACCTTTCCTAGTACCTGATGGCCTCTGGAGTTCAGCCATTTTAGGAAGGGCACTTTCAGGGCTAGAATGTGGAGAGGATTCCTTTCCTCTGTAAGCTGAGAAGTAAATTGATCACAAGAAAGGAGGGGCCCTTTTCCCTGTGAGTGTCTGCCGAAGGGGTAATGGGGGAGGCAGGGTCTTACCTGCCACAAAACACCGACCAGACTTGCAGTGTGTGTCAGAGGAAGGCATTCAGAAAACCCATAGACACTACTGGGAGTGGGGTGATTGTGAGACAGTAAGCTCTCTGTCCCTGACAGTATTCAAGCAGATTCTAGCCAAGTTGCTGCAAAGGAGGGCTCTGCTGGTGTCATCCCGCAGAGACAGCCACTCCCCCCAGCTCCTTCCAGGATTGTGGCAAGGATGGTCCATTGGAGAACCTGGGTCATGGCCCTGTCTGCCCCTGGCTGATTCCCTGAGAAGAGCAGCCATTTAAATGGGCACTTGTGCGTGAGTCTGGCGCCTGCTTCCAACCCGAGGGAACTCCCACCTCCAGGGCTGGCCTGGGTCTTGGGGGTCGGGGTGAAGGCAGTTCCTGCCCAGGAAGCCTCCACTCTGGACCCTGTGGGGCAGACTGGGCCGTGTGTGAGAACAAGAGAAATCTGAGGGAGACACGAGCAGTCCCACCTGTGGCTCTCCCGTTATCAAGCCTGCTTTCTGTCACTCCAGGCTCTGCCCAGCAGCGCCCACCCACCCTGTGATTGTCACAAACACAACGTGGGTGCCGGGTACATAGTAGGTGCAGGTGGGGCCATGGCTGCTAGTACCTATCTATTACGAATTTTGCCATCACAGCAGTAGGTGGGTTTGGTTTTTTTTTAAAACTAAGCATTAAATACTTTATTACACTCAATAATCTTTTTGAGACAAGGTCACGCTCTGTAATTCTGGCTGGCCTTGAACTCACTATGTACCCAGGCTGGTATCAAATTCATGGCAATCCTCCTGCCTCAGCCTCCTGACTGCTCGGACTACAGGTGTGCACTACCACACCCAGCTCTACAAAATGATAATTTAAAAATTAAACATCGAATAGGTAGCTTACGTTTAAATAACTAAATATCATGTCAAGGAAGACGAATGGAGGGGAATGGGTTGGAAACATCTGCACACACACGTATGTACACGTGTATATCCAGCATACACAGCACCCTGTGCACAAATATGGGACTGTTTTCCATTACACAAGCACTGTGTGCATCCTCAGCCCTCGGTACCGCCACTCTGTCATGGCCCTGTAACAATGGGCACCCCTGCCTCCATCTTAGTCCCCCCTGTGTCAACACTGGTGATAGATGAGCATCCAATCATTGGGAGCCTGTCTTCCTTCATGTCCCCAAGCTACAAATGGCCAGGAGGGGACTAGAACCCACATATGTCTGAGGCCACAGCCTCTGCAAAATCCACATCACCAGCTGCAGAGCTGGTCTGGCTGAGAGGCCAGCATCCAGGTACAGGTGTGGAACAGCCAGAGGAGGCGGCAGCATCTTGGGACAGTGTAGAGAAAGGGGCTCAGGGGTCACAGCAGTAGGTGGCAGTCCCAGATTCAAGTGAGGGGCGTGGGGCTTGGGGTTCCTGGCTGTGGGTGGCAGCCCTGGGCTCAGGTGCAGGTGCAGGGCTTGGCCTGGACTCCGGATGGGCCTGGGTCCCTCGGTGTCTCACTGGGAAAGCCTGACAGGGTGCACCTGATTTGTACATGGGGACTAGGGCCTTCTGTCCACTGGGCAGGGGTGCCGGGGCTGGACCAAGTGGGGCTGTCCTTCCTCCTCCCCACCAGGGACCAAAGAGAGAGCACAGCAGCAGAAGAAGGACAGCAGCTTCGAGGAGGAGCTCTCAGAGGTGGTGGGGAACCGCGGCAACAAGGCCAAGCAGGAAGGTCAGTAGCACTCAGCAGGCCAGAAGTGGGAAGGGGAGTTGGCGAGCACCATAGTCATGATGGCCGGAGCTTCTTCAGAGCCCAGGGCACCTCCTTTAAGCCCCGAATGGAAGCTATTATTCCCTTCCCTTTACACATGGGGAAACTGAGGCCCAAAGAGATTAAGTCCCTTGCCCAAAGGGAGCCCCATGACAAGGACTTGAATCTGGGTCCCCCTGCCCACCTGAGGGCTGGTGTTGCAGGGCAGAAAGTCTCTGACCTGACAGGTGGCAGCACCCACCCTGGGGCCACCCTGGGCCCCTCCCTAGAGCTCTTATAGGGCTTTGGTGGAGCCTTGGAGTACCCAAGAGGAGGGTCTGGAGGAGCAGACTCAGAGTCTAAGTAAACTGGGTCATCATTCTTGAAACCGAAGACTTTCGGGAGTCAAGAAGGTCATGGCTTGGGCAATGTGATGCACTGTCACCCAGCCACCCTCCAGGAAGAGCCATAAACTAAGGCAAACCACAATCGTCAGCAAGTTTCTAGGAGCTGGGTCATAGGGGCGTTGCAGTATGGCAGTGTGGCCAGCTTCCCACTCACTGCCCCCAGCTGTCACCTTATGGCCACTTGGGGTGCTGCCTGGGCTCCCCCCAGCTGGTACCATGGGAGGGGTCACTAGGGGAGCCTACCATGAGCTGCAGGGAGGAGGGGTAACCCCTAGGCACATGCACGTGCACACACTTGAAAGCTTTAATGCAAAAAGACCTTGCATATGGCATTCGGAGGCATGGGATCGAGGCTCAGCTCAGCTGCCTATAGCCAGCCTGCAGGAGCAGGGACCAGTCACCTAACCTCTCTGTGGGCCACCTGGCTCTCTGTGCAATGAGCACAGGACCACCTGTCACCTGGAGTCCTGGTGAAGCTCGAGTGGTGACATGTGCTTGGTTGTGCCTGGCTAAGAGGAACTGTATTGTTTTTGGGAAAATACTTTTGAGTAAAACCCTGCAAATGAACTGAGCACTTTGACAAGATACTCCAGACAGAGAAACCTCGCATGGAGGGGACAATGACGTCATGGTGCCTATTACACAGAAAGGTTAGGCAACCTGTCCAAAGTCACACAGCAGTTCAGCTGCTGTCCTAATTTCTAGTTCAGATTGCTGTCTTCGGGGGTCATTTTCAAGGTCTGTTGACTTTTGGGTTTGGTTCACACCCTGTTTTAAGAGGCAGACTTCAACCTCATCTGGTTGTGTCCAGAGCAAGCCCAGACACAGAAGGGTGACCCTAAGGCTTGTTTTGGGCTGCGCTTCTTGGCAGCCAAGCACTCAATGCCTAAGATCTGAAATTGGCCTCTGGGGAGGCCCTGCAGGCGGCTTGGTCCTCAGGGCCTGACTTTGCCCTGTTGTTTCTGCAGAGGTGACGGAGGAAGCATCCCCCAAGGAGGCCATGGAGCAAGGAGGGGACGCTAAGGAGGAGAAGAGCGGTGAAGCCAAGGAAGAAGCTGGGCCCCAGGCCCTCCCCGAGCCTGGCCGGGGGTCTGTGATCTCAGGGAGCAAGCAGACCCCCAGCAAGGAGGAGGAGGAGGAGGAGGAGGAGGAGGAGGAGGCGGCACCCAACACCCAGCCGCCAGCCAGCCTCCCCAGTGAGAAACACCCAGACCTGCAGCCTGCAGGGGACACTGAGGGCCCTGCGCAGGTTCTAGAGGCCAGTGAGGAGGGCCAGGGCGCACAGCAAGAGCGGCCGGCAAAGAGAGAAGAGGAGGAGGAGGACGAGGAAGAGGCTGGAAAGAAGGCTGTGCCTGGGGAAGAAGACCCCACTGCAGCACTGAACTCCCACCAGGACCTCAGCGACAAGGAGATCCAGAAAGGCGACAGTATGTAGGAGGACAGGGACCTCCACAAACATGTCTGGGAGACCAGGGCAGGTGACGGGGTCCTCATTCACCATCCATTCCATCTTCTCATTCCACCTTCATTACCACCCAAAGGAAAAGGTATAATCTCCGTTTTCCAGATGGGCACATGAGGCTCAGAGAAGCTAAGGAATTTGCCCAAGGTCACACAGTTCATGGATAGTGAGAGCTGAGATTCCAACCCTGGCTCGTCCAGTCCCCAAACCACGCACCTCCCTTGGTTGCCCATGGCTATGTCCAACCTGGGAGCCAAGAGGGCTTTGCAGGGTGGGTGGCGGGGGGGCTCTGAGAACAGACAGGACAGGCGGAAGCAGGCCCATCCGGGCCAGTGTCACCTCCCACTAGGGTTTAGGAGACTCTGGCTCCCCCAGGCTCCACCTCAGGGCCTTCCCCAGGCCGCATCAGGCGCTCCAGAGGAGAGGGTCTAAAGGAAGAGGTGGGCACTGGCTCCTCCTCCCCTTTGAGCTGAGAGAATCTTGCAAACGTGGCATCAAGATGGCTCCTCCCTCTGAGGGGTCCCTGTGGAGAAACTAGGCTAGACTCTGAGACCCCATCTGTGGCCCCGGGGAGTGGCAGACACCGGGGAAAATGGTAGCCCCTCCTCATTGCCTGCTCTTTCACCACCTGCTCCAGGTCGTTTGGAGGCCCTGGCTGTGGACGGAGCTGGGAAGACTGGGACTGAGCAGGCTCAGCCCCCTGAGGGCAGGGGAGAGCAGGAGCAGGAGCAGGAGGAGGAGGAGATGGCAGGGGCCCCTCGAGGCCCCTTCCCGGGCGGGAAGAGCGGGGAGCTGGAGCAGGAGGAGGAGCGGCTCTCTAGGGAGTGGGAGGACGCCAAGCGCTGGAGCAAGATGGACCAGCTGGCCAAGGAGCTGGCAGCTGAGAAGCGGCTGGAGGGGGAGGACGAGGAGGATGACCCCGACCACTCCATGAAGCTCTCCTTCCGGGCCCCGGCCTACGGCTTCCGGGGCCCTGGGCCACAGCTTCGACGAGGCTGGAGGCCGTCCTCCCGGGAGGACAGCATCGAGGCCAGCTTGCCCCTCCAGAGCCGAGGCTTCCCTGAGGAGAAGAAGGAAGAGGAGGGCAGTGCCAACCGCAGAGCAGAGGTTAGTATGGGTGGGAGGCGGCCCTGGGCAGGTTCCAGGACTGTGGGCCCACCCAGCTATGTGGCCCTGGCCCCACTGAGGGGACATGGTCCCCTTGCACCTGAGCCTGGAGAGGTGCTCGGACAGGGGCTTCTAGGGGAGGGGAAGTGCCCGGCTCACCGTGGGCAGGTGGACAGGGGAGTGGCAAGGAGGGGAGGCAGGCAGAGTGGGCACTTTGCCCTGAAAGCCATTGGGAACCTGAGCAGGTTGTGAGCAGGTCATGGGGGTGACGGGCAGAGCTTGGAAAGAGAAAGGGAATGGCAGGACTGGTGGGGGGCCCATCTGAGGCCCTGAGAGCTGGGCGGGAAGCGGGAAGGGGCACTAAGGGACAGATTTGCAGCTGGCTTAGGCACGTCCTCCTGGACCCCAGGTAGCCTGGGTGCACCATCCTCCCGGATTGAGGCCCACGGTGGCAGAGCGGGCACGGAGCCAGCTGGCCCGGGGTGTGGTGAGTGGATACGGAGCATGGACGTGTGTCAGCAGATCTGGGTTCATCCTCGTCCCAGCTGTGTGACCTTGGGCAGGTCACTGACCTCCTCTGAGCCTCACCAGTTTCCCCATTTGGGAAATGGGGGTAAGGCATCCTCTCTGTTCACCTCATTATCACGATGACAATACACAGGAGCTCAAAGACCTGGCCCTGCTTGGACAGCTCAATGGGGTGGCGCAGGGACACAGGGTGTAGCCCCCAGGAGGGGTGGGAGCCAGGTTCCTGGCAGCTGGAGGAGGCCCTGGTGGCACCTGGTTCCAGCCACAGGGCCAGGTGGGAGCTGGGGCTCTAGGGGGCCCCACCTCTTCAGAGCCCCGGTCCCTTCAGGCTCTTCTTTGCCCTATCTCTGGGCCCCAACCCTCTCTCTGGGCCTGGGACAGGGGTCTGGTTGGCAGCCTGAGAGGAGGAAGGCCCCTTCTGGGCCACTGGCGCTGGGAGAGGGCATGTGTCTTGGTCTCCTGGGCCTGCAAGCTAGGCTACAGGGATAGCAGCTGTGAACCCAGCAGGGGTTGAGCAGCCTTGAGCGCCCCTTCCCCACCCACTGACACCAGGGAGAATCTCCCTCCAGCTTCCCTTCTGCACAAGCAGAGGAACCCAAGGTGGCAGGGGGAGAAATGGACAAAGTGGAGTAGGGGCTCCTCCTCCCAGTACAAGGGCCTTAGAGACCCTTGCTCCACAGAACTTACAAGGGCTGCTCCAAAACCAGGGGCTCAAGGGTTCCTATTTCCAAGGCAGCCACTGTCAGTGTCCCTGTGGACAAGGTGTGCTGTCAGCAGACCCAAATCAGCGGGGACCCCAGCAAGACAACCCCTCACAGGTCAAGGCCAGGGAGGTGGCCTCCCTGAGCTCTAGCCCCGCGGCTGAAGGTACACTCCCATGGGTGTCCAAGCTCTCGGGGCCCAGATGCTCTGCAACACTGGGTCATAGGACGGGGCTCAGAGGGGGATCCTTGCTTCCCTAAACCACATCGGCAGCCAGAACTTGGGGGCCCCTTTGATCAGGACCAAAGTCAAAAGAAGGCCCAGCTGTAGGCAGGTGGGTGTAGGCTGTTCTCATAGCACCCAGCCTAATGGCACAGTCCCCACGGCCCCCTCGGGAAGCAGATTGAAGCGTAGCTCCAGCCCAGGCCTGGCTGACCACATTCTCCCTGTTGAGGTGTGTTGGGGGCTGGGAAGGGACCGGAAGCGTTGTTTCCCACATGCCCTGAAATGTCAGGGGTAAGGGAGGCTGAGAAGAGGGCCCCAGGGGCAGCTTCCGCCACCTTCCTGTCCGCAGAGCAGCCCCTCAGGGTGATGTCATTGTCCCCATGAAACAAATGAGGCTCCTGAGGTTCACAGAGGCAAAGCCACCTGTCCAAGGCCACACATCTAACCAGGAGCCCTGCCAATCTGGGCAACTGTTCCTGGTGCTGCTGGCACAGCCCAGCCCCGAGTGACCCTCAATGCTCTCTCCTAGGACCAGGAGCTGGAGAGCCTGTCAGCCATCGAGGCAGAGCTGGAGAAGGTGGCCCACCAGCTGCAGGCACTGCGGAGGGGCTGAGGCACTGGGGGAGGGGCAGCCAGGGCCTCAAGCTGCCCCATGGCCCTGGCTCCGCTGACCCCTCCGCAGTGCCTGGCCAGACAGGCCGGACGCTGCTTCCGGTAGGCAGGTGTCCTCCATCCCACCCAAGCCCAGGTCACCCTCTCACCCCCACATTCCTCTCCTCTGCTCTCACCCCGCCCTGGAGCACCCACCATGAGGTAGCCCCGTGACTTTCAACACGGATTCTTTCTCTGAGCACAGGCAGCTTTCTAGAAGTTCCCCTACACCTTTGCACCCACTGGGCACACTGCAATAACTTCTGACCTTCTGGTGAAAGCTGAGAACGCCTGACTATAATATATTCTGTATAAAATTTATCTAAGGAAAAATAAATCTGCTCTGGCCTCTTTCCTTTGTGGATTTTTTCCTCTCAACTCTGAGTGGGGTGGGGTGTACTGGATGTGGACAAAGGGACTTGGGGGATTCAGTCTGCTGGGGAGACGCCTTTCTGGGTACTTCCTGGCTGTGGGATGATGGGCACATGGCTTTGCCCCTGTGAGCCTCAGTTTCCTCATCTGTAAAATGGGGGTGCTGACCTGCCCACAAGGGTGCTGGTGACACATGCAGAGGGGGAGGCCAGGTTGGGACATGGTTCTAAGATTACCCTTCCCTAATGGGCTGTGTCCTCTCATCACCTGTGGGGCTGGCTAGAGGCCCTGATCGCCACCGGCACCAGCTGTGAACTTCCTGATGTGTCGTCTGAGCTGCTGAGTCCATCCTGTCTCCGCCAGGGCCGCTGGTCATGTGCACAGGACTGTGGGCAGTCTGAAGGTTTTGTGCATGCAGTGGTTCACTAGAACACATCAGATCTCAAAGTCACAGGCAGGAGTGAGGCTCCCGGCATTTCAGTGTGGGGTCCGTGCCAGATTATGCAATCAACACAGGCGAGGCTGTGCCGCGCCCCTGTGTGTTAGTGGGCCACCAGGGCCAATCATTCACACATTTGTGCTTTGGGCCTCATAGGCCTGTGCATGTAGCAATGACTAACACAAGCCCTGGTTTCCAGAAACTCAGTGCCCGGGGCGACAGCTGGACCCTCCCACAGCCAAAACCTGCAGGGACAATGGCGGCAGGGAACACAGCCCAGCCCCTTCTGGGAGGGAGCCCACGTCCCTGCAGAGGAGGAGCGGAGGCAGAGCTTGACTGGCTTTGGCTGGGGATCTGCAAGTCACCTGTCCAGGTGGCGGCTCAGGCCTCCAATAAGAGCAAACCAGTGAGGGTGGCTCTTCCAGGAAGTGGTGAGACTTCCCGGATGGGTGTGGCCTTGGCAGGCACCTCTGTGGTGCTGTCCTCGTGGGACAGAGCGCGTGGGCATGTGGGCCCAGCCCAGAGCTCCACTGCCACCGTGGGGGCCCCCGGCAGAGCCAAGTCCAAGGCACCATTTGGGATTTGGGAGCCACATTCCAAGGGCCTGGGCTCTGGCCGGTGACTCTGAGCAGGCCGGGTTTGGGAGTAAAAACCCAGATTTTGACCCCAGCCTGAAGGCAGAGTCCTCACCTCAGCCACTAACTAGCTGGAGAGCTCAGCAGGCCCTTCTGGGGCCTCAGTTTCCTCATCTGTAGAATGGGGATAACACTTTCTATCTCCTTACCAGACTGTGGTAAGGACTGGAAGGGCAGGGCAGCATGGACCAGAAAACCATGACTATGATGCCACAAATCATTTTGGGGTCCCCGAAAGCCTGTTGCTACCGCTGCCTGTCCCCAAAGCAGAGGCGCACCTTCTCAAGGACTGTGGCTATAAGGTGCTTATTGCTTCACCTGTTCCTAAGAGACAGACCCCACAGACAGTGATGGAATAACAACCACAACATGAGGTGCATTCCACCAGGCCACGAGGAATCAAAACATCCTCCATCAAGTGTCCTTGGTAAACAGAGAGCCCAGACACCTTTTCCCCCACAAAGAGCCCTCCCAAAATGAGCCACCCACATTGTGACCACATGGTGCAAGCCCAATCCAAAGAGCCGATGGGCAAAAGCGGTGGTTTTGTATATAGAAATGTATGCCAAGTACAAACCGGCTTGGATTCTGGTCGAGCTGCTTGTGAACAGGGTAGGGTTGAAGCAATGGTAGCTGTCACAAAGCACAGGTGTGGGGGGATGGCCCAACCCAGGGCGTCCTAGTGAAAGCTCTCTGGGAGCAGCTTCTCCAGAGGAGCCTCAGAGAGGTGACCTTGGACACCTGGAGACGGGTCCACCCGTCCAGATGTTGAGCTGCAGGAGCGTTTGGGAAAACACCCATTCCTGGAAAAAGCCCTGGACAGTCTCGGTGAGGGACATCCTGCTTGGTCAAAACCAGCCGGAGGCCACACAGCACATGGCAACCAGCTCTCCTTTGCACAAGGTGTGTGTGTATGGGGGTCTCCGAGACCTCGCTGGCAATGGCTGTGCAGAGGGGCAGAGGCACGAGGGGAGGACTCAAGCACAGACCCTCGGCCACATTGTCCGAATGGTCCTCAGGCTGCGGCAGGTGAACACAGCAGCGGGTGCGGCCAGGCTGAGTTGAGAAGACACAGGCCAGAGCTCCCATGGAGGGTCACTGCACTTATCTACCTCACAACGACCTGCACTGGAGGAGCTGAGCATCTTCAGGGACAGCCAGCGACCAGCCCAAGGGCTTTGGAGCAACAGGGACAAGCAGGGCAACTGCCCATTGGATGAATGACCAGTCTATAGGGGCCAGGGGAGGGCAGACACAAACCCAAGGAACAGCACTGGGGCCAGCCAGTGGCTCTCTGTGGCCAGCAGCCGGTGCAGATGCCCAAGATCCACCACCAGGCTGGAAAGATCAAGTTTCCCCTGGTCTCCAAGTCATTTTTCTCAGTGTGCAAAACCAGCTTCCTACAGGGCCTTTCAACCTGCTAGCGAGCCTACTCACTGGCCTCTGGGGACAGGAATGCCTGTGTGAGGTCATGCTCCTTGTACTGATAGGACTAAGGACACAGGCAGGTCACATATAGAGCGTGACTTCCACACAGGATGCTGGGTAACCACAGGCCAGCCCTACCCACCGCCTGCATGCTGCAAACCCACACTTTCGTGCAGTAGCAAAGGCCCTGGTCCAGGACAGGGTCCCCCAGGCTCTCCTGGTGAGCGTGAACACCAGCCGCTAGCACCCTGGAAGTCACGCTTGTGAAACTGCATCACTTTGTGACCAAAGCGTCCTTAAGCACAACTTGACCCAAGGTCTCTGTTCCCAGTGGCTCAATGCAAGCAGCATGTAGGGGACCTTCTGAGACCACCCGAGGCTTCAGTCAAAATGTCGCCCTGCTGGAGTCGCAGCCCCATGCACTGAGCACCACCAAGATGGGTGCTGCAGGTCCTCAGGACCAACACGCTGACCAGCTGGGGATGGGCGCTGAGGCACAGGGCCCAGCTCCGTGTGACGCTGGCCACCAACTCTAGCAGCCTCCTTTCCTAGGGGAGCTTCCCGTGAGCGTGCTCTCGGCGGGTCCACACCAGCTGCCTCAGTGGGACTGTCTGTCCCTCTCCAGGCTGGGGCCAGTGAGGCCTCAAGGAAACTGCAGTGCTGGGACCCACAAAGGGCAGGACGCGCCCAGGGGACACTCGCGGTTTTCTCATCCTGGTATCTTCCACAGGGTATCGGGGGCCTTGTCACTGTCTATAGGGCCTGCTGACACTCCTGTGCCTGCTGGACGGTGTCCACCAGCCTGACAGGTGGCTCCTATCCACCCCACAGCTGCAAGGTCTCTGAGACCAAACCCCACCCTCGGTTTCCATGCCTGGAAGACACATGGAACCTGCCACCCGCACAGAGACCTGCAGAAAACGCCACATCACCAGAAAGCAGTCACTTGATACCCAGCCCTGGATGCACCCGTGTGTGACCCTGACAGCACTGACCTGCGCAGGGGCCCGACACGGCTGGGTCACGCCGCCTACCTCGCCTGTCTTCGTGGTAGACTGGCATTGGGATTTTATTTAAAAGGCATAAAGCTGCTTTATTAAACATCTTTTCTCTAAAGACCAGGAAGATGACATGACAAACACGAGCAGCATTTTGTAAACACGTGTGAAATTTAGTTTGATTTCAGTAGTTTATTTCAGAGACAAAGCAGTGCAAGAGGCTGGCCACACTTCCTAGATTCCCAGACTCAGAGTCAGACATCGATCAGGGTCAACACTTGGCTCGCGTAACCACGGCAGTCCTGGGGCCCTCGCTTTCCAAGGAACCTGAGCAGTTTGGCTTCTGCCTCTCACCTTAGCCCAGCCCCAAAGGAAGCCTCCAGAAGCCTACTGTGTGCCTGCCTTGGCAGCCTGCCTGGGGCCACGCAGGGCTCCCTCTACCTCACAGGACCACCGAGGACACACCACAGGCCTTTTCTCTTCCAAAAAGAACTGCTCTTATGACACAAGACGCTGCTCAGGGGGTCCCAGCCTCCACACCCTCCACGGCAGAGAAGGCTCTTCAGACGCCCCCGTCCCGTGGACCTGGGATCAGCTGTGGTCGGCCTGCAGCCAAGGCAACAGGATAGGGTGAGTCTGAGGTGCGGTGCAGCTCCCCGCAGGCTGGCTTAGTGCCTGGGCTTACAATGACCACAGGAGGGCTGTGTGGGACCCGCTTGCTGGTCAAGGGTTGGTGCGTGTGGACAGGAGTGATCCATATGGCCTGGGTGTTCCCTTCCTGCCCAGGAAGAGATTCAGATGGTCCTGGTGCCCAGCGGAGGCTCTCACACTGGCCTTACCCAGCATGGGGCCACAGAGAAGCAGGCTACCTCTCGGGGCTAGAGCACAAAGCCCCCCCTTCAGTTCTCTGGTCTTGGCCACCCACTAGAGATGAGGGGACAGTGGCCCAAAGACTCATGAAAATTGTCCAAGATCCCAGCACAAATCTGGGCACAGGTGGATTCATTCAAAGGCTCCCAGCAAGGTAGCCTCCTTCTGGGTCCTGTGGAGGGCAGCACTGGGCTGGACCCACGAGAAGAGGCCTGGTGACTCCGGGGAGCCGGGGAGAGCGGCAGCAAACACGCGCCTTGGCCTCTGCCCATGAGAAGCTTCCTTTCCCATCCCTGTCCTGGGAAGGTGGGTCACAATGCAGACCCCCCCAGCACAAGCTCTGCCAAGGGGCCTGTGAGCTCCCCGGCTTAGGGTGAGGGGTCAGCTGCACACATGGGAGCCACTGGTCTCAGAAGACACTGCCGGAGGGAGGGGAAGGAAGGGTCAGGCCTGGGCGTGGACGGCCTGGAGCTGGGAGGAAGAGGAACCGCTCATTCGCTCGCTCTGTGCAGCCACCAACAACCCAGCCAGGCCTCCCTGCAGGGGCCCCGAAGGCCTGGCCCACAGCAGCCATACACACAGACTCACACAGCCATGCACACTTGCACAGCGATCACACACACACACACACGCACGCACGCACACCTCACATTCACACCTAGTGTTGAAAACACAAGCATGTGTAAACTCAGTGAAGAGATCTGCACAGCAGGAACTAGGCGGGGTGCCCCTTTTCCACGAGCTGGGCCACTAGGTGTTCTCTTCTTCTTCCCCCCACCCCTCATTTAGATCACAACATCCTAAAATCAGATTAAAAATTAAAAAAAGAAGCATCAGATCATCGGGAATTCTTAGAAGCGTCCCCGTTGGGAGCTGGTGGCCCAGCGGGTATTGCTCTGCGCCCCGCGCCGCCCCTCTGGGTCCCGGGCTCCATGGCTACTGTGAGGAGGCCTTGGTGGCCAGGGAGGCCACGCAGTGCTGCTGGAAGCTGGGCGACACACCGGCAGTGCAGCCGAGTCTCTGGTGCGGCAGCTTGGCGGAACCACCCGTGCCCACGCCGCCCGTGTCGGCCTCCGTGGTCCAGGGTGCGTCCTGGCCCATCATGCTGCTGCAGCAGCCGGGGCCGGCGCTGCACGTCCGCTCGCCCGCCAGGCTGCCCGCCTGCTCAGCCAGGAGCCTGCTGTGCCTCAGCGGGGCCACGTCCCCTGCGGCAGCCACGCTGGTGCTCTGCTCCTGCAGGACAGTGGCGATGTGGTTCAAGAGGTCCGTGAAGAACTCGCTCACACCCTCGTATCCTGGGGTGGGAGAGACAGAGGGCACCGTGGTATCAGCCAAAGGGTGATGGGGAGGAGGCAGCACAGAAATGGGGGCCTTTGCAGTACCCCATTTTCATGGGGAAGCTGGGCTCAGCAGAGAGGAGGCTAGGAGAAATCAAGCTGGGTGCATGTGTCCTCAAGCGGCTGGCCTTTGACCTCTGGCTGTCCCCAAGATGTGAAAAGCTGAGAACTTCAGCTGATACAAACACCCTGTCCGGTCCCGGTCCCGGTCCCGGTCCCGGTCCCGGTCCCTGTCCCTGTCCCTGTCCCTGCTGGGATGGTCTCAGCATCTCATTTAGTTGCCCATCCACCCACTGCTGTGCTTTGGGTAAGTGTCCCACAGGGCCTGCGTGTTAAGCTTGGTCCCCAGCCCTGTACCCTTAGGAGGTGCTGGGACCTTTATGAGGGGGGGTCAAGCAGGAAGTCTCCTGGTCAGTGAGGGCGTGCCCTTGGCCCCCCAGCTCCCTCTTACTTTCATTCCTGCCACTAACTGAACGGGCTTTCTCTGTCCCGGACCCCCCACCCTGCAATGTGCTGCCCGGTCACAGGTTTAACAGTAATGGGGCCAACTGATCACAGACCAAAACCAAATCTATAGCTTAAAATAAACCTTCCAGCCTTTTGTGGTGAGGACCTTGGGTATTTTGTGACAGTCAGGGAAAGCTCACGAGCAGACCTGCACAATATGGTCAGGCACGGAGGTGAAGGTGGCAGGGCCAAAGGCCACTCCTCTTGCTCTGAGTAACAACCAACCCTACAGGACCTGGCCAGCCTGGCCTGAGGCTAGACTGCTGCCACTGTGTCTATCCTGCGTCTCAGCTTCCACGTCTGGACATGGAGAGACACTACCGTTGGTGGGGGAGCTTCTGTGGGCACCACGCGGAGGGGCCGGCAATGTGGTCAGTGCCTCACCGTTCCCCTCTCACCCTGGAACACCACACACTGGGATCAGCACCCCCACTCTAAAGTATGAGCCAAAATAAGCCATTATCCAGAGTGTGGATGGGTGTGTTCATCAGTTTGCCATTACTGTAGCAAAATACCTGAGACTATCACTGCCAAACACCCTCCGGCCAGGGCTGGCAGGTCTGGATTATAAACTGCTGGTACCCACAAGGCATATGCTTCCCTGCAGATGTGAATGTCAGCAGAGCCCTTGAGGGACCCCCTGTAGGTTTCAGTGTCAGGTAAGGATCTGCTGACTGACAGCAAATGACCTCCAAAGACACCTCCTGCCTTCCTGCACCAATTTGGAGGGGAAAGAATTGGTACCCAGCCCAAAGAGCAGTGAGGAGGGCAAGAATCGTGTCTTGAAAAAGAGCCACAGCAGACATCCACTGGAGCTGTGACCATCACCACCAACAAAGCCTGGTGCCAAAGGGCTGCTGAGGCCCTGGCACGAGCTCCAGGTGGCACTAACAGGTTGGAACGGGGCACTCAGCGACCTGCAAGGAGAGCTCTGTGGCCAGCGCCTCCATGGCCTGCATTGTACAACTCTGTCCCCGTTTTACTGGTGAGGATCGAGGTCTATCCGTGACAGTGGCGATGGTGATGGTGTCCACCCCAGTGTTCACAGCATCCAGGAACACCAGCCCTGGGCTGCGGGCTTTGCCTTCCTTAGCTCATGTGCCACCGCAGCCCCCATTTACAGCGGGCGACACTGAGGTTCAGACAGACCCACGCTGTGAAGCTCCAGCGGGGCACAGCTGGGACCTGTGTGTGCCTCGATCACCACACGGTGCCTGGCAGCCCTACTGTGGGACTGGGTGCCCTGCTGGCCCTGGGGCTGGGGCTGAGGGAACCCAGTTAGGTTGCCGGGAAACCCAGCAACCCCTCTGCTTTGGGCCCCAGACCAGCCTCAGAGCCCAGGCAGAGCAGGGTGGGGTGTGCTTTCCGGGTAGGGCGGGGCCTGTGGGTGAACGGGAGGCCGGGTGCCAGCCCCATGCAGACCATGTCCTGTCTCTGTGGATGGGAAGTGTCGTTTCCGTTTGCACAGCGGTGAACACAGGGGCTGAAGAGTTAGGTGACTTGAGCCACCGAAGACTATAAAGGCAGGGCCAGGATGTGGGAGCCTCATGGTCAGAATGCAGCTTGGCTAATGGGCCCTCACCTTGTCTCTCGCTCTTAGAGACAGGAGCTCAGTGTGGGCCCCCAGCACCGCAGGGCAGGGCAGCGCAAGCAGCAGGCAGCCGGGAGTGGCTGGCCCTGCCACCCATGTGCTAGTAACCCAGGACAACATGTTTCTCTCTGGCGGCCTCAGTCTCCCTCGTGTACACTGTGGAAGGCTGTGCTCCCTTCAAGGTCTTTTCAGCTCCTTAAATCTGCCACGTCCCGGGGGATGGACCGATTGAGCCAATCAAGACCCACGGCTCGATCACGGCACAGGGTCCCAAGGGCGGGTGAAAAAGTGCGCCTGTGCCTGGCCGCCTGTGCCCGGTCCTTCCTGGCACGGACACTCGGGTCTCCCTGCCCCTCCCGCGCCCTGGGCACCCATCACGTGGGTGCTCGAGGCTTTGCAGCTGGGCAGCACTGCCCCAGGCCCGCAGCGAGGGTGCTCTTGAGACACCATCAGCTCACTCCTCTGCCACTGCCCAAGGCCTGAGGCTGGAAACCCAGGGGCCTGGCGAGGACGGCACCGGGCTGCTGCTCACCTGGGAAGGCGTTGATGTCGATGACAGCGTGCTGCCCCGTCTGGTTGTTGATAATGATGTCAATCCCGAAGAGCGACACACCTAGCGCCTGCCGCAGGGCCCGGGACAGCTCCCGGATGACCTCGTCGCTGGGCCGCTCAAACACACCCTCGATCTTGTCCAGCTGCAGACACACACAGAGGTTAGGCCAGGTGAGAGGGTGCCAGGCCATACCACGCCACGCAAAGGAACCCACACGAGGTGGCTGAGCCCTGCTGTCCTTTAGGCCAGGACAAAGGGCAGACGTACCATGGTTAGCACTTGCCCCAGACTCCGGAGCAAGCTGTCCCTACTTCAGCCCTGCCAAGGACCAGGCAGTCCTGCAGTAGACGGCTAGGTATGGGGCGAGCACTCATAAGTACCCGGGAAGCTGGCGTCAGTATCAGCATTTTACACAGGGGGATAAGGGCTCAGAGAGGGTCAGGGCCAATCCTGAGTCACACAGCATGAAAGCACAGGTCAGAAATGGGTTCTAGATTTTCCAGCCTCTAAACTCAACCCTCTTTCATGGAGAAAGATGTGAAGGGTCACGGACCCAGAAGATATGAAGGTGCAGACAGCGCTGAGCTGAGCCTTGAAGGTGGGAGGATCCGGGGCCCTGGGGACACTGAGGCCTGGGGCGGGCAGAGAGGGGACAGAGACGAGAAGCTGCAGGAGACGGGGACAGTGGAGATGCAGAGCCGGGGCAGAGGGGGCAGTGGGCTGTCCCGATCCCCACCCCGTTCCCCCACCTGGGTAGAGCCATGAGGGCGTACAGCTGTGGGCTCTTGGGTTGGGCCCATCTTCCCTTCCCAGCAAGTGGCGACTGGGGCGTTTCCCTGGGCACTGCTTGCTGTGGCTCCCACCTGACTGCCCCGGCCATGTTCAGCTTTTAATGAAGGGGGCCGGCAGGGCTGTCCCACCCATTTCTCCCATTCTGCCCTGCACTCACCCCCTCTTCCTACCCTAGTCCAGGCACCTGAGCGTCCTCGTGTTCAAGCCTGGCCCCCTTGCCAGGCCCTCCAAGGAAGTGGTCCTTTGCACTGGGATTAAGGGATTTGGATTCAAATCCTGACAGGAATAAGGAAGCTTCCATCCCAGACTTCTGATGCAGGGACTAGCGTGTCACTTCAAAGCCAGCCAGAACACACTGAGGGCCTAATAAATGTGGAATTCTGGGTGTTGTGGATTCAGGGGCCAAAGAGGAAGGGAGTGGCTGATGAAAGCACACGTGGGTTCAAAAGCTGAGCACAGAATTATCATACGGCCCAGCAGCTGTACTCCCGAGTTGAAGCTCCAGGGCTGCAAACAGAACTCAAACACCCTTGAACACCCATGTGAGCTGCGGTATGTCTCACAACAGCCCAGGGTGGGAGCGAGCCAGTGTCGCCAGTGGATAAGTGAAGAAAAGAAACCATGGTGTAGCTACCTGAGCAACAGTGTGTCGCTCACCCATGGGAAGGAATGGAGTTCTGATACACGGGCACTACAACACGGGTGGTCTCTGCAAACATCATGCTAGTGAAAGAAGCCAGTCACCAAGGGCCACACGCTGTACGATTCCATTTATGTACACCGTCCAGAGTGGGCAGGTCCACGGGGACAGGCATCAGAGCAGCGGCTGTCGGGTGCTGGCGGTGGGACGACAGGGATGACAGCTCACAGGCACAGGGCAGCGAAGGTGAAAGTATGAATCGCCGCTGAACTGTTCTCTTGAAGGTGGGTAATTTTATGTGTGTGAATTTCATCTCAATTTAAAAAAAGTGAAGCGGGGTTAGCAGGGTTGGGGACAGAGCCACTGGTCACCAAGACAAAGCAAATGGTCTTTACCCCTGAAATGGACAACAGGGAACTGCCAGACATATGCCAAGCAGGTTCCGACACCTGGCACCGTCTGCCCTGTGGGTCACGCCACCGTCCAGCTCTGCAGAACAGGCAAGGCCCGCCTGCGTATGACCCCAGTGCTCTGGGAAGGTTCCCAGCAGTAGCCTGGCAGGCTTCCTGGGCCACTCGGGGTCTGAGGTTCAGCCCAAGGAAGCAGCCTGTGAGAGACCTGCAAGGGTGCCTCGGCTGGCCTGCCCTGTTGCATGCCCTGAGCTGTCTCAGACATCATTTTCTCACCCCCAATAAATGGGGTAAAAAAAACCCATGGCACAAGATTCTGGTGAGCTGATGTTCCAGGCTCGTGGCAGGGCCAGGCTGAGGCTGCCGCGGCTGCTGTCCTGCTACAGTCTCCTGACGTGTTGTTTATAAAAGCTCTTTTTCAGCCTAGCAAAGGAATCTCAGAAATCCCTCTGAAGCCGTGTGATTACCCAAACCCAAGCAGCCAGCCCAGGACAAGATAAGGGCATGGAAGTCCGCCGGTGCATTAAGCACAATGGTGTGACAGCTCTCTGGGGAAGGAGGCAGTGGAGCTGAGAAGGTGTCCCCATGGGCTGTCCTGATGGCCTTGCCCCCCCACACAGTGACACTGAGCGCTCACTGCACACCCAGCAGAGGGCACGACAGGGAAACCGAGGCTCAGAAAGGTGAGGCGACTTGCCTCACCTGGGTCAGGGCTCCCACTGAGCCTCGCTGCTGCTCCGAGCCTGCCACTGGCTCTGCAAAGTAAGAGGTGGTGTGGCCTGCAAGATGGAGTGCAGCAAGGCCCAGCACGAAGGTGCAGCTGGGAGAGAAGGTGGCTCCAAGCCAACAGATCCCTCCGAGGACACCAGTTCCGGGAACAGAGTGGCTGTGTCAGGCCAGCCTGTGGGTGTCTGGGAAGGGCTGGCACCCCCGCGGAGAAAGTGGCACCAATGATGCGGCCCGCTCCTCCTCCTCCTCCAAGGCAGAATCTCAAGGCGCACTCATGTGTTGAGGGGAAGGCAGGACACCCGTAGGCCTCCCTAGTGGGGAAGGACCCGGCTGTGTCCAGGCTGACCTCTTCCCTGTTCTCAGATGAGGAAACTGAGGCAGATCTCCGCTTGCAGCCCTCACAGCGTTCCTCTGGCATCGGCTAGCAGTCTTAAGGGACACTAGCCCTGCACTGCGCAAGGACCCTGGCAGGCGCAGCTTCTCAGGAGGGCTGTGGAACTCGACTCCCTTCTGGCTGAACGAGGCTCGGAGACATCGGGCTGGGAGGAAGCCCCGGAGAGCCTCACACTGAGCAGACGGCCTTTCCGGCACCGAGCGCCTACTCCATCTAACGGCTCGCACACCTGCGCCCTGAGAGGCTCTGTTTAAAATCTAGTCACTCCCAAAGCTTCCCTGACTCGTTCCTGGGGACATGTGTCAACATCCCGAAGGACGGTGGTGTCCCTCCAGGTCCCTGGCCACGCCGCACTCTGTCTAAACCTCAGCACAGGCTTCTCAAACAAACCGGAAACCAACACCAAGGAGACATGCTGCTAGCGCTCACGACAGGCGCGCGAGCCCAGGGCAGGCTCCTGGAGGGCGGCACACAGTAGGCCAGGGCATCACGGTCAGCTGTGGCTCTTGGGAGTCCAGCTCAGGACAGGGAGGGACACAGGAAATGCTCAGAACAGCAGACGGACACAAGCTCAGGGAAGCGGGAGCCCCAGGAGAGGACAAGTCCAGGGATCGAGGCAGTAAAGCTCCATCCAGGCTCCAACGCATCACCTCCCACGTATGCACAGCTGTGGTGCCCTAACCTTAACCTCAACCCCAGCCCTGCACTCTTCCCACCCTGCCTGGTCAGAGAGCTCAGCAGGGGGCCCTATGGCCAGCAGCACCCCACACTAGGCCGGGGTGAGGGCAGCCTTAGCCAGGCCACCACACGGAAGCGACATACCTCAGTGAGGTCCGACGACGACTCCGGTTTCGACACATTGTGGCTGTTGAAGAAGATGGACTCTCGGTCTGCAAAAGCACAAGACGGCAAAGGAGAGTTACACCGGCGAGGTAGGGACACAATTCCTCCAGTGGACACCAGGGGGCAGCACCACTCCAGCCACTAGTCAGGGAGGCTTCGGGCAGCAGCGCCCAGCTCAGCGAGCAGGGCATCCTACCCCTCGAGACGCTGCGTCATGGGTGGATGTCCCCCACCCCCGTTTCCATTTCTCCTCCCAGGTAGAAACCACTGCTTACTGGGCTGCCTCTCACCACGCCTGGGGTTCCCTGACACAGGATGCCCGCCTTAAGTGTGTCGCGTATATGTCAGCAGGGGTTGGGAGGACAGGGAAGTGCGTGAGCTGACAAGGTGTGCACCCATGTGTCAAAAGCCTCCCTAGTCCCAAGATACTTATGAAGAAACGGCCAGGTTGCCACCAGCGTATGAGAGCTTAAACTGTGAAAGATTCCGCCGTTTCCCCATCATGTGGGGAAGTGCAGGAAACCAGAACACAGGCTTCACCGAGAAAGCTTCCAGAAAGGTCTGTCTTTCCCAAAATGCCCTCCACCTCCTCCAGCCCACGCACCCCTGCTCCATGCCCGCCACGGCTGCACCCCTCCCCCACCATCCCATTGGGGCACGGGAGGCAGACAAATCCCGGAACACCGAAGTGCTAAGTTGACAGTGTGTCCATCCGTCCTCGAGAGAAACATCCTTGAGGAGATAACCAAGGCCGCTCCGGGGAGATGTGAGGCCAGCTGGTCAGCTAGGAATGTTCTCAAGCACTCCGAAGCATGGCACATGAAGGCAAGAATCACAAAGCCACAAGCCCAGGGAGGAGTTCTGGCCAAGTCTACCACCACCCCCTGGTCTCCCCCGGCCCCAAGAGCGGCATGGGGCCATCCTGCTTGGGAGCCCCTGAGGAGTCCACCGGCCCCTGCTTGACTGTCCCTGGGACACAGATCCTGAAGCCCAAGGACAGGAAGGGCCCCGGCTGAGGAGCTGTGTGCCAGGGCTGGGGGAGCCCACTTGGGCTGCCAACCCCACGCCCCCAGTTCTAGCACTCCAAGGCGCTGCAACAATCATGCATGAGGCAGTGATTCGGGCAGAGGCCAAGCAGGCAGGCGCTGAGATGTACCTGGCATCCTTCCCGCTAGCGAGGCACAGAGGCCCCTGGCCACCCCGGTGTGCCCAGCAGTCCTCCTGCCGCTCCGACCAGAGCCAGTCCAGACGGGGGGCACGAGAGACGGTCCTGGGGAGGAGCCTGGGGAAAATAAACACCCTGCGGGACTTGTGTCAAGCAGCTCCACCAACCTCCACTCCGGGGCACCGACAGCCACGAGGGAGCCTTTGGGGGTGGCGAAGCTGGGTGGGCCAGAGGCTGGAGTGGGGCTCCGGCAGTCTGCACAGTGCTCTGGCCTTCTGTAGCCAGGCCCACCTTCTTATCCTGCAGCCTCCCCCCAGTGCAGGGTGCTTTGCAGGTTCCCAAGGTTAGTGGCCAGACTGGCAGAGCAGGGGGACAAAGCAGTGCCACCATCAGCAGGTGGACCCAGCAAAGTTCAGGCAGGTCAGAGAGCCCACAGGAGTCACCAACACAATACACGGGCACTTGGCAGGTGCCAGGAACGGATGGAGCTGCATCTGCCATACCCACTGGACGGGACAGACCACAGCTTCCAACAGCTTCCTGAAGCAAGGTCAAATGCACACATGGCAAAGCGACCCTCCCACCCCTGCTACTTCTGGCCTGCTGTGCTCTGGCCAAAGGACGATTTCGCAGCAACAGATGCCCCAGACTCAAAATTTCTCCATGTGTAGCCAGAGCAGGGTTGCAGGGAGTGACAGCAGCTCCTAGCCATTCCCTGTCACCTGAGACAGTGGGGAAGCTGAGGTGGCTTAGAAGGGATCTGAGTCCCAAGGCACAGTCCTGGCACCCAGTTCCTCGGGGATCTTTAAGATATCCCATCCCTTTAACAGAAGGACGGGCCAGGGCCTAGCTCCCTCAGCTCAACAGTGAGGCTCTTGGTCCTGGGAGCTCCCTGGACTCGGGGGCCCAGCCAGGACAGGTCCTGAACTACACCCAAGAAACACACAGCACAGGTGAGGGAAGGGCCACCACCACCATCCTGCAGGGGACAGCGGACAAGGAGAGGAATCATGAATGGCTGTGTTCTGAACCTACAGGCGGAAAAACTAGGTTCAAAAGAAGAGTAAATGGCAAGAACAGCCCCCAACCTCCCAGCAACTCAGCAGCACAGCCCTGACCTCTGGCCACGGTCTTCAGCCTCTCTGCTTGTCTCCTACCTCTGCTGGGGATCACAGTGTTGCCAATGGTGACCTGAGTTGCCTTCCAGTTGCATTAAACCCCACCTCTGCAGAGGGGTCTGCACTGCCACCACTCTTCCCAGAAGCTCCCTTAAGAGGTGGTGTCCCTGGATCTGTGCTATTTCCCCTGAAACCTCTCACTTCAAGTGACAATTGGCTCTTTGGTAGTGTCCTCCCTGTGTGTGTCTCTCCCACTAGAATACATGTTCATGAGGGTAGAATGTGCCCCTGACAGGCCCCTGGCTGACCCCCTGCACCTGCACAGAGAGGCTGGGGAAGTAGGTTCAGTAAAAGCATTTCACTGACCAGAAGAGGTGCTGCAGTCTAGACTGGCCAGCTACACACTGCAGGCCAGGACAGCTGCACTTGTAAATATAATAGTATCCTTGGAGCACAGCCCCGCCCATTCATTTCTGTCTCTCTACAGATGCTTTTGCTCCGCAAGGGCAGCATGACAGCATTAAATAACTGGGATGGCAGTTGTTTATTAACTATTCTGCTTTTTGCAGAAAAAGTCTGCTGACCCCTGCTTCCGATGGTAAGAAGTACCCCTAAGGGAGAGCAAGCTCAGGCATGGAGTGTGACGGAGACCTTGCATAAATCCAGCAGCCTGAGGTGCCATGTTGTTAAGTCAAGGTAAAGGATAACAAATAAACCCACCACAAAGAAAGAGGGAACAAAAAGCTGCCTATCTCTCCAGAAATGTGACCCATGGACAGAAAACAGAAGAATATCCTCATATCCTTGGAAGCAGTACAGGCCAGTGTCAACTCTTCATCAGAACTCTGCTTGGTCCCAGTCAAGGCATCTATGAGATGACACAGGCTACGGAAGTCAGAGGCTAACTTGGAGACGATGGTGCACAGAAAACAAAAGTACCCCTGGCAATTCAGAGAACAGAAGTTGTGGAGAAACATCCTTGACTCTCCCGGGTCCTGAATGGACACAGGAAGCTGTGGGATCTGCCACAGTGGCCGTGGGAGCCGGAAGGCTGGGCGGTGCCTAGAAAGGACCAGAGCCCCAGAGTGTCCTTTCCAACCGGTCGAATGCAAACGGCCACAGCTGTCTTACGCTGAATACACAGGTGCAAGGCGGAACCCACGCTGCTTCTTTGGCACAACACCCCACAGACCACAGCCACAGAACCAGACGCCCAGGAGTTACTCGGTTTTCGTGTGTGTTTTTCTGCATTTGGCCTGGGCTGCATTTACAGCCTAGAAAGAGCAAACAGCCATGAGAAAAGACACGAACGAGGAGTTCTCACCTAGAAGAGAAAGTTGGAAAACACAAATACACTTCTGTGTGCAAAACAAAGATCTGGTGGTGAATTTCTTTTAGTGATGAAGTGATTTAGATAAAAAGAAAAAAAAGGAGATGATCTCAGACTGTTTTTTGGCAGTGCTAGGGACAGAATTGAGGGCCTTATGCACGCTAAGCAAATGTTCTACCACTGAGCTACACCTCTTGTCCTCACGATTCTTAATTTAATATACTTTTCATAGACTAAAAGAATGTATTTTTATCAGGACAATAATAAAGAAGTTTTAGGCCAGGCATGATGGTGCATACCTGTAATACCAGCACTAGGGAGGCTGAGGCAGGAGGATTGTTGCGAGTTTAAGACTGGCCCACAATTTGGGAGACTGTCTCCTGGTGGTATGCAGCATATAAACACTGCTCTAGACCTCTGCACCCCAGGCTGTCACCCAGTTCATCCCAAGGCCCCTGGGCTTGGGTGTGGGGAAGCAGAGTCAGGATGGGGTTCTCCGAGGCCCTGGCTGTGTATACCCGCTATGCTCACAGGAAATAGAAGAAAGCGGAAATAGATGTGGATTTTTTTTTTTTGGTGCCAGGAATCGAACGAACTCAGGACCTTGCGCTTGCCAGGCAGGTGCTGTGCCGCTGCGCTATATCCCGGGCCCAAGATGTGGATTTCTAAAGCGTCTGCTCTCTACTGTGTTTGTGGAAAGAACAAAAGCGACCCAGGGAAGAAGGGCGAGAGGGGAAACTGGGAGGGTGGAGGTGACAGGAGCCCGGGGGAGGGACTTCAGGAAGGCACTTCTGCTTGCTCAGATGCACAGCAGGAGCCCACGTATCAGCGCTCCTAGGGATGGCATTTCTCCCACACGGAAGTGTCAACAAGCCCAAGCAAGGTGCGCTGGGCAGTCAGATGTCCTCCACAGGACCTGGCAAGAAAGCTCTTCCAAGGCACTGCCCAAAATGTTTGGCCTCTGTGACCCAGAACACGTTTGGAGCAGCCCCAGCACCAGCACTCTTTAACTTCGGGTCAGTTTTTAATAGCCAGAAGTAGCTGGTGCCAGGCCTACCGGAGGCAAGCAGTGAGTGCAGGGGGACCTTGGGGGCCACAGGCTGCTCCCAGCAGGGCACCTCCAGGGATGGAAGGACAGAGGCATGGTGCACACAGCACCACCGTGTGACCTCTGAGGGAACTGAGGACCCCTATCCACCGATCCGGGACACTCACTGACCAGGTCCCCACGTTGGGGCAGTGAAGGGTGCAGTGACTTGCCCACTGTGACCTGCCTGAGGTCCCACGCTAGGGACCCTCGCACCCCAGCCGCTCTGCTTGCTAACAGAGTGCGGGGAACGGGCACACGTGGCCAACAAGCAGAGACTGGTGTGACAGAGCCATTCTGCCCTGCACTTCCCTGAGGGGCCATGGGATAGCGGGGGTCCTCCCGTCCCCTCACTGTGCAGGTCCCAGGACCCATCTGTAGACAGGAAGCCTGCAAGTGCTTCCTGAGGAGGGCACGGCTCTGCCAGCTAGAGCCCACGGTGCCTGGTGGCCAGAGTCCCGGTCCACCTACAGACAGCTCACAGCCTCCAGGCCACACCTCCGGAAGTAAATGCGAGGCGCAGGGCAGCTGTGCCCAGGGTCTGGCACAGCCCGCAGGTGCACAAGGAGCAGATACCTGATGTGCCGGCAGAGAAGTTCTTGAGCGAGGGCCTCTGGACCACGGTGTAGGACTCGCCCACCACAAACACCTTGTAGAGCACAGCATTGTGGTTGATGAAGTTCTGGACCACGCAGGGTGGCTGGATGGCACTCAGGCCCTCCTGGTTGAACACGATGGCCATCTGGGGAGACAGGGGCCAAAGGCTGTCAGAATTCACAGCCCCACCTTCCAACACAGCCGTGTCACCTGTCCAGGGACAGGTCCTGTCCCCCTGCTCTCCTATGGCTTATCCCTATGGCATGAGGTACATGGAGTGGAATGCAAGAACATGTGAGGATCAGTGCACTTTTGGTGGGGCTGGGAAATCCTGCACCCATGAAGCCTGCCAGGTAGAGATGAGCAGGCTGCGTGCTGCACAATTCCTGAAAGCACTATTCACACCGTCGTCCCAGGGAATCAGACCCCTGGGCTGTGCGCTACTCAACCCAATGATATCCTGTAGGATCCTCAAAAAGACCCAGGAGGGAGGCAGGCAGCAGAAGCCACGCTCAGGAGCTGGAGGCCTTAGGCCAAAGCTACCTCCTGGGGTCAAGCCAGACTCTAGTACTATGGATGTTACCATGACAAGGCTCCTCCAAGACAGCATGTCACCATCCCCTGCTTACACGTAAGGAAGCTCAGGCCCTGAGGAGCTCAGGGACCTCTGGAGAGAGTCGTGTCCTTGTGTATCAAGTCCCCAGCCTCTGACGACAGTATGCCCAGGGGAGGACACAGCAGGGGACTGAGGCAGGGAGGGCAGGGGCACCATCTCTGCTGACCAAGGCTGGCGAGAACTCCGGCCACTGAGTCAGCTGCCAGTGCCAGGTCAAGCTAATCCCGCAGGGCCCCAGGGTGAAGCCACCGAGACTGGCAGCCCGGGACTGCTGAGCCGCAGCGACGGCCTGGACAGCTGGTTGCTGCACCAGCCGCTGCCCCTCATGTCGACTAGGTGCCCGGTGCTCGGCAGGGCAGAAACACAGGGAACCAGTGTGTGCTGGGGTGGGGGGAGCCAGCCTCCTCGGGGGGAGCCACCGTAAACACAGAGAAAGGCCCAGGTGCTCCGGGGTCAGACTGCTTGGTGTCAGACGGCCTGCTGGGCTCGGGATGAGCAGAAGTGGGGTCCCCACTCTGCTCTCTGCAGCACAGCATCCAGGCCGCCAGGGCTGGCTTCAGAGTGCTCGGGCTTTGGGAAAAGGGAGAGGAAGAGGAGGAAGAGGAAGAGGAAGAGGGAGGGAGGGAGGAAGGGAAAGAGAGGCTGCTGATGCCCCACCATGAAGCACGCTAGCACCTGCCTGGCTTAAAATCACAACAGACACCCACAGTTCAATGAACATAAACCAGAAACAGTGCTCTGGCAAAACCAGTCCTGGTCCAGGCAGGGTGAGAGGCTCTGAGAGTCACAGGCTCTGAGAGTCCCCCACTGGACAAGGCCCACCAGAAACCCCCTCCTGTCCACGGCTGATCCCTTGCTGCTATGTCTTCCACCCTCGATGCACATGACCCTGTGCCCCCTGGAGATGTGAGTCTCTCAGCCCTCAGCCTGCTCAGCCTGTGGCAAAACCTTGCAGGAGGGCACCCCATGAGGCTAACAGGCTGTTGCAGCAGGCAAGCGCTGAGGCCAGGGTTCACACTGCGGCAGTGGACCGGGACAGCCCTGGTGCTGGGGTGGGCAGAGGGGTGCATGCATGTGTGCCCATCTTGGGGCAGATGGTCTCTGTAGTGGACTGACAACTGGTGGTCGACCTATAACCCCCAGCTGAACTGAGTAATTGTGGTGCTGGATGTGACAGGTCCACCTGGGGACTGTTGCCAGCAGCATAAGAGGCAGAGCTGGAGAAGAAGAAGAAAGGCTTTTGGGAACTAAAGAGGCTGTTGGGAGCTGAGAAAAAGCTGTTGGGAGCTGGTAGAAGCTGTAAGGAGCTGTTGGTTCTGTTGGAGGAACTTGTCATGCTGGCTTTCCTGATGAATTTGGCTGTTTTCATCCCCCAAGGAGCTCGGGACCTCACTGGCACTGAGAGTAGCTTTGGTTCACTCTGGGGGAGCTCTGGTCCTCATTTTCAGCATTGCTTCCTGGCTCCGTAGGGGAAGACGGTGCACTGCAAGTCTCCTGGAGAAGCTTACTGCATTGGCTTCCCTAATGGGAACTCGGCCATCTTGATCACTGGAGGAGCTCAGGACCTCACTGTTGCTGAGGATGGCTGTGGTACTTTTGGGGGGAGTTCTGGTTCTTCTGAGCATCACTTCCTGGCTCCAGTGCAGATCCCTCAGCCTGCTAGCACAGATCCTTCATCCCACTGGCACAGACTTCCTAGATTCCACCACTGACCCTTGGGCCTTCCCAGCGCAGATCCGTGAAACAGGCCCACATAAGGTATTGTTATGGGCTCTAGGCCTCCAGCTGGACTCGTGGGAGGCACTATAATGATCTCTAGGCCTTCAGATGGACTCATGCAGGACATTTCCTTGGGATCCAGGCCCTTGGCTAGTTTCCTTGGTCTTAGTGTGTGGACAGACTTCCTGCACTCTTTTCTATATCATTCTTTAGATGGCTATTACAAATAATCTTACAAAATATGTGTCCTGTATTATGTTGTTCACCTTGCAAAAATAACCCCAAACCAACACAGTCTCCCTGGGGGTGCTGACCCAACCTGAGGGTCACAACTCTCACGAAGCCAGCAGGGGCTGGCCAAAAAGAGCCCTCTGGACCGGAGCCCCCACCCCAGGGCAGCTGGCTCCACAACAGCTTATCAAACAATTCCCCTGGGCCAGGTGCTGCAGCAAACCATGGAAGAAACCCCTATGCTCCACAACAGTTGCTAAATCCCCATTCATAAATGCAGGGCAAATGCTCAGAGAAGCTCAGTAACCTGCCCTGAGTCATTCAACTAGCAATGCAGAACAGCAAAAGTAGCCCAGTTCTGTGAATTCCCAGGCTGGGGTCCTCGGTGACTGGACGCGTGGCCCCCCCCGGCTGACCAATGTGACACAGGCTGCCCCCACACTCGTACCCTGAAACTCAAGGACCCAGCAAGCGGGAGCTGTGTGCTAGTGACAGGGAGGCAAGGGGAACATGAGGCTGGTGGCCAGGAAGGGCACCCAGGGTGCCCGCAGGGCTCCTGATCTTTGGAGATGGCTGCCCTTTACGGCTGGCAGCGACTTCCTTCCCATGGGCAGTGCCAGTCTGTCACAGCATGTCCCCTGCTCCGGTGACGCTGTCTACAGACATCTCCCCATGGCTATCTGCAGGGATAAACAGTGCAATACACGTCTGGAAAAGGTGCAGCTGGCAGGCTTCCACTTGCGTCACCGCGCTAGGAGCCCTCCTGGGGGTGGGCTGCCCAGGAGGGGCTTCCTCCAGGCCCCCGGCGTTCCCTGAGTGCTCCACCTGGTGTGCAACCTGGGGGCTGGGAGCACAGCAGGGACCCAAGGGAGCTGCCTCTTGCCCCAAAGTCCTCACCTCACACTGTCCTCCTTTACTCCCTTCGCGGTCTCTATAGGGATTCTCTGCCCCAGGGTCAGCCCTTGGATCACAGGCACCATTCCTGGCACCCAGGTGGGCTGGGCATAGATGCAGAGGGGAGGCGAAGGTACAGGAGGGCGGGGGTCACAGCACACCTGCAGGTGTGGGTCCCCTTCCTCCCTGGCCCTCTCTCAGCAGCTGGCAGACCTTGGGGGCAGTGATGGAGTCTTCCCACTTAGTAGCCCTCCCTGGGCCCAGCCCAGTGTCTGCCACCAATGAACCAGAGGACAGAAAGACAGGGACAGGTCAGGCTGCTGGGACTTCCAGGGGCTCTGCTGTGGACTTCATGTTCGTCCCCTGCAACTCTGTAAGCCAAAGCCCTGAGCCCCGGTGTGAGGGTATCTGGAGGTAAGCAGGTTCTGATGAAACATTTGGGGGGATCCCTCACAACGCCATTAGTGCCTTATAACGTACTCTCATGTTCTACACACACACGGGCGGCTGTGGGAGGAAACAGCTGTCAGGAGCAGCCCGCACCACAACCCAGCCCTGCCAGCACTCCAATCTGGGACCGCCAGCCCCAGGTCTGTGAGAAGACAAAGGTCTCTATTTAAGTTGCATGGCTATGCTGCTTTGTCACGGTGGCCCTGCCAACTAAGCCAGGCTCCAAAGAGGGCAGGTGGCCCAACATGCCCTCTTGGCCTTGGGGACAGGGACAGACAGTGGGGTGAGGCTCCTCTGTGGCGTGAGCTTGGATACAGTGTAGAAGGCCACAATGTTTCCTCTGCTCACTGCTGCAGAGCCTGGGAAGGCAGCTGCCCATCCTGAAGGGGAGACCAGGGCAGGACAGGGCACAGCAGCAGCTGTGGCTCTGGCCATGGAGCTCACGGGTCCCAGTGAGACCTAAGGGGCTGATAGGATTTAGGGATGGCAGTGCAGGGAAGCTAGGGACAGGGATAGTCAAATCTTCCACTCACCTCGTGAGAGTTGGTACCATGGGCCACTCGGGTTTTGCAAACTGTGGGTGGGAAAGACAAGCAAAGAGGAATCAGCAGGGCTGTCACCCACACAGCCGGACCTGGCGGACGTGGAGGGACCAGGCAGTGGGGAGCTGATGAGTCGCACTGAGGACAAACAGTGCCTACAGGAGGGTCATGTGACAGGCACCCCCAGGCCAGGCAGGAAAGACATCTTTGGCCCACACCCCAGGGACCCACTCAATAGAGGGGCACAGATGGGACTGAGGGCAGCCCCTCCTTGGCAGCCACAGTACCTGCCCATGCTCGAGCGAGTTTAAATCCCGAGATCTGTCAATACCCGCCTCGCCCTCACTCCCCTACCCGCCCAGCGCGCTCAGCGCAGTACATACTGAAGGGGAAGGCCAGGCCGTTCTGCTCCAGCAGCCGCATGGTGTCGTCCCCACACAGGCTCGTGAGCTCCATGAAGGGCGGAGAGCAGATCCTGTCATCTAGAGTGGAGAGAGGTCGGGTCAGTGCCCTGCCCCGGGCCCCCAGTACCTGCCTCCGCACGCCCAACGCTGCCTGCCCCCAACTCCGCAGCATTCTATGTGTGTGAATGTTCACAGCATATTCTTCCATTATCCTTTCTAGTAACAGTTCTGTAATTATAAAAATCTTATATGCTGACTGGAAAATCTGAAGAGCACAAATAGGAAATATGCATATTCACATATATTACAACATAGATTATTATATATCCCTTCTTCTCAGCCTGTGCTGTAAACACAAACACACTGACACACAACTGCTAGCAGGTACCATTTTGCAACCTGATTTTCAGCTTAACACACTATTAACCATTTCCCCAGCTTAGTACTTTCCCGCCATATGACATCTTGGCTCAGCGACAACTACAGGACGATACCACGTGTCTGGCACTGTGCTGACGGCTTCACACATTATCACCTTTACAGCCTACAAACTTATCCCGTAAGGAGGAAACTGAGGTCAGAGGGATGAAACAACTTGCCCTTGGTGACAGCCATCGTTGCCTGCGGGGCTCCCAGGGTGGCCTGTGACAGTCACTGCCTCCTAACTCTCAGGCCTGCTTCCTGTATCTCTCAGGCAGCCACACTCTAGGCCAGGCCAGCCCTGCCTTGGGCTGCTGGTCCCCCCACCCGGTGCCCACACTGTGGATCCTAATGCTGTGCTGGGTTTTCAGAAAACTCCTAGGGGCTGAGTTTTGTCATAGTCATGAGGTTCCTGCTGCCTAAGGGCAAAGCAGGTTGTTGGTGGGATAACAAGATGTATTTTCAATCTCCACTGATTATTCAGTAACTTGTTTGTTATTACTGACTCCTGTCATAGTCCCCTTCTTGGAAAAGACCATGAGCTCCCAGGAGGTGGGACCACCCTATATTTCTGGGCACAGAGGCTGGCCAGGGATGAGCGTTACTGAGGCAGCGGCGACCTGCCACCCATAGATTTGCAAACCAAGCCAAAAGCAAACCTGCAAAGCACTGTCCCCAGAACGTCGAGCTTCTTGGCTGGCCAGGTCGTCAGCACATTAAACCAAGCAAGATCCAGCCTCGTTCAGTTCAAAAAAACCCATGCCAGGAACTGCATGGGGCATATTAAAAGTGCTTTCCTCCTTCCTCACCTCGCTCCTCCAGGCAGAACTCAAACTCTGAAGGAGTACATCTTGGGGTTGAAGGGTTTCCTTGTGGGCCTTGCGGGTGTTGAGAGCCAGGACCCCCTGGGCTTCTGCCTGTGAGTGCTTTTCACCCTCAATGTGCTGTGACTGTGTCTGGAGGCACAGACCCAGAAACACGGCCCAGGGCAGTACTGCCCAAGGTCCCGTGATGGCCCACAGGGCCAGAATGAGGAGCCAGGCTTGCCTGGCGGCCAGCAGAAAAGTCAGGGGGGTTGGGGTGGGGAGCAGGGGTGGGCACTGGTGTTCAGCTCAAGCTCTGTCCACACGTTCCCCAGGCTCAGCCTGGGCAGGGAGGCTGGTGGGGATGAGGAAGTGGCCTGGGCAAGATTCCTTGCTGCAAACATCTGGTCCTGCAGTCCTGCTGCAACAGGGACGTTGATGGTCCGGTCTGAACAAGCGGTAGGACTCAGCAACAAGCTTCAGATGGGCGCTCACCTGGCCCGGCAGAGGCTGGGGTGCCACTTTGGGCCCAGAACATGGTGCATGCCCTCTCCTGGGAAGATGTGCCGGTTGGGGGCCCAGAGGGCATCCCCTGGGAGAGCTCTCAGACCACGACCACCACCACGCCTGCCAGCTTCCAGAGCAGGTGAGCCAGCCTGGCTCCAGAGTTTGGCGTTTCAGACTTCAATGTCCCCCAACTATGCCATCTCCCCAGGGCGGCTCCTTCAGTTACGTAACGTCACCCATGACGGCCACCATGTCCACACATGGCACCGGCTCTGTGCCAAACACTGCCCCACGTGGTTACACTGTCACTCATTTACCCTCGTAAGGGCCCCATAAGGAAGCACCACCATCACCCTATTTCACGGTGAGGAAACTGGGGCACGTGGGGCTGTACAGTGAGCAGCGGTGGGATCGAGGCCTACGAGCGAGCTCCTCTGCCGTGCGCAAGTCCCAATGCAACAGCAGCTTCGGCTTATGGAAATCAGTCCGGACCATACACGGTGTTCCAGCAGCCTCTTCATCCAGGGCTGTGCTACGCGCAGGTTCAGCTTCCTACAATCAACTGCAGTCCAAAGATTTTAAACGTAAAACGCCGGAAACAAAAAACTCCTGTTTTAAACTGCATGCCATTCTGAGTAGGGGGATGAAATCTCTCACCATCCCCTTCTGCCCAGGCCGCATCTGAATCACGCCACTGTCCCGCATGTTCAGGCTGTGTACATTACCAGCCTATTAGTCACCTAGTAGCCGTCAACCGCCATGTTTCAATGCTTGTGTGCAAGTAACCCTTGTTTTATTAATCACAGCCCCAAAGTGCAACATCAGAACTACTGGCAATTTTATTACAGAATGTTGCTATAATTGTTCTATTATGTAATTGTTATTTATCTCTTACTATGCCTAATTTATAATTCAACTTTGTTTTTGATCGTGCCAGGGATGGAACCCAGGGCCTTGCGCAAACCAGGCAAGTACCCTTCCACTGAACCACACCCCTGGCCCTATAAATTGAACTTTATTATAGGTGTTAGGTACTATACAGGGAAAAAAAAAAAACATAGTAAATACAGAACTTGGTACTACCCAAAGTTTCAGGTATCCACTGGGGGCCGTGGAACACACCGTCCATAAGTAAGGGAGGATCTACTGTACCACATCAAGGGACAAAAACCACACAATCGTCTCAATAGACGTAGGGAAAGCGTTTGATAAAACTTAACACCCTTTCATGGTAAAAACACTCAACAACTAGGAATGGGAGGGAATTTCGAAACCTAATAAAGGCATCTACAAAAGTCCATACTTAAAGATAACATCAAATTTATAGCAAGAGCCTGGAAATTTTTCTTCTAAGATTACGAACAAGATAGGATGTTTGTTCTTGTCACTTCTATTAATACTATACTGGGGGTTCTAGCTGGGGCCATTAGGCAAGAAAAGTAAGACTGAAAACATCCAGATTGGAAAGAAAGAATTAAAACCATATCTATTTGCACATATTATGATCTGGTATATAGAAAATCCCAAGGGACATATATATATATACATATACATACACACACACATACACACACACACACCCAAACTGATAGAGTTAATAATAAATGAGTCCAGCAAGATTGCAGGATAGAAGATCAATATAGGAAAAGCAGTTGTCTATACTGCAGCAATGAACAATCCAATGTAATATTAAGTAAATCATCCCATTCCCAGAGGCATCAAAAAGTACAAAATTCTTAAGAAAAAACTTAATGAACGTTAGAACAAACACTGCAAATTACAAAATATTGTTGAAAGAGATTAAAGAAAACTTCAATAAGTGGAAACACATACTATAAAAAGGAGATTTAATATTGTTTATCAATTTTCCCAGGATGATCTATAAACACAATGCAACACTCAGCAAAATCTCAGCCGTCTTTCTTCAGGAATGAACAGGATAATCCTAAAATCCTTATTAAAATGGAAGGGACCCAGAAGAGCCAAAGCATCTTGAAAAAGAATACAGTGAAAGACTCGTACCTCCTTGATTTCAAAATTTACTACAAAACTACAGTCATGGAGAACATTTGGTACTCGCATGAAGACACGGGTCAAGGCCATCCTGGGGAATCCAGAAAGAAACCTGCATACCTACTCATTTTCCATGCAGGTGCCAAGATCATTCCCTGGGGGAAAGAATATTCTTTTCAATAAATGGTGCTGGGACAACGGGATACCAACATGTAAATGAATGAAGCTGCACAGTTACCTTACCTTACATACAAAATTAATACAAAACGGGTCATGAACTAATTGTTAAGAGCTAAAACTACAAACCTCTTAGAAAAAAGAGTGAATCGTGAATCTTCATGACCTTCTATTAGGGCATGGATTCTAAGATGTGGTACTAAAAGACAAGCAACCAAAGTAACAGTAGATAAAATGGACAGCATCCCCCCCTCCAAAAAAAAGCTTTTGTGCTTAACAGGGTAGCATAAAGAAAGTGAAAAGATAACCCACGGTGGGGGGGATAGTTATAAATTGTATATAGTGGTGCCTCAGGTCACGAACGCTTTTGTTTGTAAACAACCTGGTTCACAAAAGGGAGAGTCAGGCAAAATTTTGTTTTTGTTTGCAAACTCTGCACTGGGTGACACACACAGCCATGGCCATCTTCCTGCATGAACATGAATGTGGCCATCTTTTCCGGAATAGTGGACTGAAATAAGCTTGTGAAATGAGGCACCACTATATCTGGCAACGGTCTAGTATCCAAAACATACAAAGACCAACTAAACAGTAAAAGACAACCCAATTAAAAACGGGCAAAGAATATGAAAAGAAAGTTGTCAAAATAAAAACAACAAAAAAGGCCCATAAACACATGAAAAGACACTTAACATCATCAGCAAATCAAGTCATAGATCAAAAAGCAAATCAAAACCACCATGAATACTACCTCATACCCACTATAACGGCTATCATAAAAAAGACGGACAAGGTAAGTATTGTTGAGGATATGGAAGAATTCAAACCCTTGTATATTTTTTATATCAATTAAAATAAGAAAAAGGGAAGAAAACCCACAGCTGCCACTGTGGGGGGGGTCTGTTCTCCGTGGGACCCCAGGCTAAATAAAACCTTTACATACAGTATTTCCCTCAATCCTCCCAGCAAATGTGCAGAGTCCTGTCCCCCACCCCTCGGGAGTCCAAAGAGAAGTCAGAAAAGGGACAAGAGGAGCCCATCCTCCCCCAGTGATGTTTGGAGCTCAGCAGAACTGCAAGGAGAAGGCATTTTTTGTGAGTGGGCTACGTGCAGCCTCAGCTCACACACCCTTCCTTTCTGAAATCTCAGGCTCTGGGG